GGAGAGAGAAGGAACAGAGAAGGGGGAAGAAAGGGGACAAGGGGACTTAGAAGGGCTTTGCAAGGGTAGTTTAGAGATTAACACAATGGTTGAGAAGGAGGTGGAAGTGGGCAAATCTCTAGGTCTGTTTTTCTGGGGAGGGGAAGATTTCAGAAGAAAGGCTATTGAGCAGTTTGAGAAGGTCAGGAGGGAAGAGAAGAATAAGAGAGCAGAAATTCTAGCAAAGAACAGAGGTTGAGATGCAAAACGGGGTGAGGAGGAGTTGGGAGAGGATCTGTAAGGAGACAAAGCTCAAATTGCATCAGGGGCCAGGTAGGGGGTTAAGGATGAGGGTTTGAGTTGGAAGGTTAGGGGCTTGAGGGAGAAAATGAAGAATAGTGACTAGGTTTGGAGTCAGGCAATACAGTCCAGAGGCAGCTCTGTTACAGGAAACAAATCTGGATTTCCTCAATTTGAACCTGAAGTAGGAGATTTGGGAAAGAGGCAGCAGGAAATGGTTGGAATTGGATGCTAAGGGTTTTTARGGGGTGTGGTCTTGTTATGGGACCCTGGGGTATACAGGAAGAAAGGTGAAAGGTTGACAGATTGCTGTGGTTCTGACAAAGGTCTAGAGTTTTATCCCCCTAACTGTGTGCAGGGCCGTTTTGAATGAGAGAAACAGGAGTCAGTTCAAAGGCGATCAGATTATTTTTTACTAGTTCAGTTGGTGATCCCTGGTTTTGAACAGAATAGAAGATCAGATTTGGGGGAGATCTTTTGGAATGTTCTTGAAATACAGAATTGTATCAGCGATTAGATTGTATTTTTTGGTCATTAGCTGTTCTATTTTGGTGAGGTGCCATCTTGTCACCTCTTAACCTGTGTCCTGTTTTCTTACTCYTCAAAAAAAAAAAAMGTAAACAGCAGGCCCTAAATTAGTTCAAAATAAGGTTGAACCCTCAATCACAGCTTATTAAATTTTTAGTTGAGATAAACTGACCTGCAGTAAAGCCCACTTYATTGGGTGACAGGCCATATGTTTAAAAAACAGTTGGGTTCATGTTAATTAAGAGAGGCCCACCTAGAGATCTTCAAGTCCAGCCCCACCTGCCTTAAGCCAGTGGGGTAACACATAGCACCCAAGGAGAAAGGGGGTGAGAAGTTATCTAAGCACCTCTATCTTCTATAAAGCCCCTATCCTAGGTGGGGCTAATGCCATTCTATTAACCAAAGTTTGAAAAACCAAAGAAGAAAAAATAAAAGGAAAAAAAGGGGAGGTGTGGAGAACTAAAGAAGAGGAACAAAGATTTCCAGCCTAAGACTGTGAAGGTAGGGATAAAGATAATTTCCTTTAATCTCTTCACTATTACATCCATACAACCTCCCCTACAAGGAGAATTATGTTTCCCTTGTTTTCTATCTATCTTACACTCTCTATTTTTTCTTTTCTTACTTGTCTCTACATAAAATAAATAAATAAATAATCCTATATAGAGCAGGCAGCCATCTACACTCCAATCGACCAGTCATGCTGTCACCCAGCAAAATTTCCAGGTCCATTTCACCCCTAAACTGCTCAATAGAAGGAAAAAATATTGTTTACCTGGTCAGTGAATTGGYAACCAAGTTGGTTGAACTGCTATCTATTTGACCCAGTCAACAGGTCAGACATTTATTMCCTTGTTTTATTCTTTTTGTATTTTTGTCAATTTTTCTCAGTTGTCATACTTACTTTTGTTTAATATGAGGAATTTGATAATATTATAGACATGCTAAATTTTTCTATAATTTTTTATTCTTTCTATATTCTTATATTCTTATTTAATTTTTGACATCACAGGTTGACCCCTTTGACTCGGGAAGTTGAACCACTAACCAACCACTCAGATAAAAAAGTGGCTTCATTTCTAAGTTGGTTTTAAAAACATTTTCATGAAAATTGGCTGATTATGGCTCCTTAGACAATATTAATTTAATGCTATATAAGGGAGAAAACCATCTATAACCTCACTCATAAAACTTGGCCAAGAATGGTTCCCTATATCTTATTAATTTTAAAATCTCTACAAAATCTTGATTCTATGTGGTGGGTGAGAGGGGGGGGGTAGCACTTACAACCTTGTCCGTGAAACTTGGCTAACTATGATTCCTACATGGTTGTTATAGATAAAGTGGTCCATTTATTTACTCCTTATAGTTTCTCCAAACTAAAGAGGAATATACACTAGGGTTTTCTATTCAAAATTCTGCAACTGAATTATACTTGGTTGAAAAATCTCCTGTCCCTTTGCTGGCTCTATTTGGGATTGGTTTCTTTCACTTTTTAGTTGTAAGTGGAACACCCCTGCTTGCTTGGAAAGGTTGTTTAACCCTTCAATTCATAGTTGCACTATAAGGAGGGGAAGAATATTGTGGAGATGTACTAGGGCAGYGGTGATTTGGACAGTATGGGAAGAAAGAAATTCAAGAATTTTTGAGAACAAGGAGACTATGATAGAAATCATAACCTCAACAGTGGCTCATTGGGTCAAGACCATGAAACTCTTCTCAGACTTCAAGGTAGAA